CCCCCCCCCCAAGAAAATTTTGGAATATTTGACGGCTGCAAACCCGTTTTCCTGCTATTTCAGCCCGTGAACAGTAACTTCAGAGTGGTCTAATATAACCTTCTTAAGGTGGCTGACTCGAATTCCAGTCAATCGTTTACAGTCCACGAAGGCGAGACCGTTGGGAGAAAATTTAACTGCCGCAAACGCGTTTTCATGCTATTCCAGCCTGTGAATACAGCAACTTCAATTTGGTCCAATATAGCCAACCTGGCTGACCGGAATTCCAAACAACCAATCAATCGTCGCTGGGTTGGGGGGTATACCCTCCCGGAGAAAATTTTGAAAATATAACCACTGCAAATCCATTGTCTGCTATTCTATCCCATGTAAACTCCAAAAGTATCCAATGGTTTTGAAACCGAAATCCCACTCTGAATTCCAACCATCTAATCAGACTGTTGCAGCTGCATTCACAAACAATAATCGATGCCCGAAAAATGTCGCACAAAGTAGGGTGGCTCCAGGCAACATTTTTTAATCCATAGTCAACTCAGTACAAATTCATGGTATTCAATTAAAAGAAAAGTAAAATTAGTGTTATATTAGGGCTCGATAACAGTAAGGGAAGAAAAACTAGAAATGCCCGAAAAAATTTCGGGTTAACAGCCAGCGGCGCCGGTTTTCTTCGAGAGGCGAAGAAGCGGAACTGACCTTGTATGGAGCCCCCAAGAAAATTTTGGTATATTTGACAGCCACAAACGCGTTTTTCTGCTATTCCAGCCCGTAAAATTAGTGTTTTATTAGATTTCGGGCACTTTATTTTGTCAAGTAGATGAAATAAATTTTATTTTCAATTTACCCATCTGCCCGAAAAGTCAGCTTGCCCGAACGTTAGGGGGGCAGCTGCCCCCCATGCCCCCCTGGCTCGTACGCCTATGTTTGAATGTCATTATAGTATATTGATATATTGTTTTAAGCCATAAGTGATGTGTACACAAACTAAATATTTGTGTGTCAACATCATGTTTATCTTCTTTATTGTCATGTGATCTTATCATGTGATCATTCACGAATGTACAAATAACAACAATATGATATATTTGATCTGGCATGGAGTATTTATTTATCATGTTTGTTTATTGTGTGTTGAAATATTCCTAACTATTACTATATTAAACAGATCAGAAACACGGTATTGGAGATTGCACAATACAAACCGATCAGAAGTAAATATTCACTTGGCTGTCAATATGATATCGATAGGGATGAAAATGAAATGAAATGAAATGGGCTTTAACGTCCTACTGTTTTGCTCCTAAACTGGGCTAATGAAGACGGGCATACGCCATACAGTGTGCTATGAGGGAAATTTTACACGGAACCTCGGTTTTTCATCCCATCCGAACGACTAGACAGCTGTCCTTGTCAGACCCTCCGTCCAGCATCACTGATCAGGGGAAACCACGGTGGAAAATGTGGATGAACTTTCTCCGCCAATGCAGGGATCGAACACCCGACCTCCAGGCTAGTGAGCCAGCGTCTTACCCACTTAGCCACGTGATCCCCTCTGATAGGGGTGACATCGGGTAAGATAATAAGCCTTGTAAAAAAAAATAATAATGGTTGGGATGCCGAAGTTCAGATTTGTCATTGATTCCAAAAAGTAGTTAAGTTTTAAAACGTAAAATACTGTATAATTCAACATGGTGCCCGATAAGGCTGTGCAAAAATATCGATATAATCGATAATCGGTAGAAGTCATTTAGCGATACGATAATCGATATTGAAATTCAAATATCGATTATCGGTATTTTTACCTTCTGACGGCAAGTTACGGTCACTTTCACAAGACTGAACTTGCCGTAGTCTGGCATGCAGACGAATGAACGAATACACAACGTTAACACAACAACTATTTTCCCCCACTGCTTACAAACTGGCACATTTTAAATATATATTATTGTAAAAAAACTAAACTTTAAGATTAAATACATTATTTTAATATTTTCGTTGTTTTTGTTGTTATTACTAGTTGAAACTAAAATAGGTCACGCACTTTGTGAACAATGACGATCGCACGTGATATATAGTAAAATTAGAATTATCTCCCTTCTTTGCTCTTGATTGATTTGTAGAGAAATTGTCTGCTTTCATGATAAAAATAATTGTATTATTAATGATCAACTCAGCTTTTATTACTAAATCATGTCAGATACAGCCCATACAAAACACGTTTTTGACTTCCCGGGAAAATATCTATATCTCTCGTAATTTCTTGGAAGAATTCTACTTTGGTTTTCGTCAAAATTAACCAATCATAAAAATTCTACTTTGAAAGCCGGTAATTATTTTTTTATTGTCCAATCAATAGACGCCTTCTATTATATTTTATTCTATTATTAATAACACTGTGTGATCGCCAGTAACTTGCAAAGAGAAACCATGTATTGTCTTTGTATTTATCGGAGATATTGGAATAAAAAAAAGGTTCAAATGAATCAAGAACAAAACTTAGAATAATACTCAAATTAATCCTACATTTAGCAACTAATTATTTTACATTAATTGATTTTTTTACATACATCGGCACAGTATTAGACTAGGATAATAACACTAGGATAATAGGATAATAACACAAATAACAGGTCGGTAAAGTTCGGTTTTTCCGGAAGAATGACAAATTCTTGCCGATAATCGATATTGAAATTTCATATCGATTCCCAGCCTTAGTGCCCGATGGGTTTAATATATAGGTACGAATTAGTACCAAATGGTTTATTTATATGAGAGTCAAGGTTTGGACTATGTCTTGGAAATTGGAAGTAGAAGGCAACTATGTGTCTCTTTTGTGGACCGAGGTGTGATTGTCCGTTGTATTTACTGGACGGATAGGCCTGTTCACCTTCGGTTGTGTATCAATTTTAAATGTGCGGCTTCTTAACAACCTGATCGGCTCTGGACCGGTTTGATTCTACGTATCTCTTGTAGATTTTTTAGCCGTGAGAATATCTACGGTGAAAATAGTGGTTGATTCCGACGCAAAAGGGGGAATCACGACCGACCGATTTGATCAACAAAATTAGAAGAGAGTTGGATAACCAGGTCTTCATAGCCACTCTTATCTCTTATAAGATAATAAGCCCTTGATAACAACTGTTTTTCTTCTACAAATTAAATTCTAAAACAATTTTTTTGGTTATTAAAAAAAATTAAAGAGGTTTTAAGTTAATCCGGATAAAAGATATTTATTTCATGTAAATGGGTATATAAAACAGTATGCAGAGATGTAAAATGATTATTGACACTATATGATATGCCTTCACACATACTGGATGTGACACATTACCGCTATTATCAAACAGTTTTATGCAAAATAATGATTTATTAGGTTATGCATTCATTCTTTGGGTAAATGTATTTACATACATGTAGACCTGGGGTAAACTTGATCTATACACATGCCTTCTGCTCATTAATCACTAAATATGGTATAACCAGAAGCAATATGTCTGACTACCTGTACATGTTTACATTATTTAATTAATCTGTTCATGTCATTAATGTATTAATTAGTATTCAATATACAGGTGAAGTATACTGACTTCTTCACCTGGCATACATGTATATAATTAAGAAAAATCCAATCATAAGAGAAATAATTAACCTTGAACTTTGACCCTACATGTATATAATTACATAACAACTGCCTACTTACTAAACACAATTTAAAGGCCTGATGCGTCATTTGCATTTTTTGCTGAAATATCAAATTTCTCACGCCTTAATCCATGCTAATATGTACTCAGATTGATTATTTAACATTTAATTAAGAAAATATAATCAAAATACCAATCCTAGATAACATCCTGGTTTGAATTCTAAAGAATATTCAAAACAGGATATGAAATGAAGTGAAATAGAATTTAACGTCCTACTGTTCTACTCGGACTGGGATAATGAAGATGGGGATTCAAAAGTGGCCTATCAATTCTGTTTGCCCACAACAAAATGGTGGCAGATTTATTAAATAGTGAGCAGCATAGATCCCTGAAATTTCAATTCAAAATATCTTTGTAACTGATCCATTTTTGGACTTGTATATTATCTTTCACAAAAATTGCAGTATGCAAAGGGATCTCCATTACGCTAAAATATCCATATAAATTTAATTTGATTAATAACTGTATTGACATCTTTAACTTATGATATAATCCACATATGTATTTGACGGGTATTTCTAGTTTACCATTCCAAACTGACCCTAAAGGAGGGCTGTCATGTCAGTGATATTTGCTAGTTTTGTCTGACTAGCAATAGAATTGATTGGTGAAAGATTTACTCGCCATAAACTGCAAAGAATTCCAACCTTGAACAATGAATACAGTACAGTTCAAATTATAGTTGCAATGCACATGATATCGTAAGGTCTGTCAATGAGTCAAGTGGAATGGTTTCAATTCCCTGCTTGTCAAGGAGTAGAGTCATTTGTTCAACTTCGCCGGTTTTCTCCAGGTCCTCTGGTTTCCTCCCACTACTAAAGACCCCATAGCGCACGTGAATTATTGAAATAAAATTGAACCATTTTAGTCCCATAATTACCCTCACTCCCACTATCTCTCTAATCTGAGGTACAGTAAACAAAATGCGTCAAAACTTGATTGACTGACAAGATTATGTACAATCTGATTAAAATACAGATCTATATTCCGTTTTTTTTTTATACTTTCGATGGTCTCTAAAACATGAAGATCTGACCGGTTGTAGTGGAAGGTCGCTTCGGCGGTCATACGAGCTGGTTTTGACCCTATGCCGTCAGATATGTGATTAACCAATCATTGGCCAGACCCTCACATCAACCTGAATGCGGGTTATATAACAACTCTTCTAGATCCTGGTTTAGTAAAGACAAGTAAAATGAAATTTTAAACTATAAAAAAACTAAACGAAATAGGATCTGTGTTTTAATCAGATTATGTAGAGAAACCCCAGTCTTAGAGATTGCTTTATTTCATACTTACTTGTTCAGTTGAAAGACCTTCTTCTTCCATAGACTGTTCTAATAGTCTATACCTGTAACAAAAATAAAACAATTTACTAAATTAAATTACATTAGGATGTATATATGTAACAAAATATTCTGGTTCTCAGACGTGAAATGGGGTTTAACGTCCTACTGTTTTGCTCCGAACTGGGCTAATGAAGACGGGCATACACCATACAGTGTGCTATGAGGAAAATTTGTCTTTACAGCGGCACTATGGCCTACTCTTATATCGAATTCCAACTGTCAACTTGGTTTTTTGTCCCATCCGAACGACTAAATAACTGTCCTTGTCAAGCCCTCCGTTCAAATGAAGTAACCCAATAAAACATATCCAGCTAAATCACAAAGACCCACCACACTGCATTAGCCCAGTTAGTGTAAAAAAAAGTAAAATGTGAATAATCTTTTTATTTCATGTAACACCCAAAATGAATGTAGGTAACAGGCTTCAGTTGTAACATGATTTTGAACACTGGTTATAACTGTATGAAGGTCTACAGGTCTAGTTGTGTGTACATCCTACAGATATGTATATAACACGCACATGCTATTATAATGTGTTAACTACCAGCAATCGCCATGTTTGTGGAAATTACTCAGGAAATGGTGATAATTGATTTTCCTACTAGCAAAAATTGGAAAAAAATAACGATATTACCCCAATCATGTAGTTTTTGATCGACTTGTAGTTAAAACCAGAATCCCTGCGGTTTATCAAATTACTACAAGATATCTCTGGTAAAAGCATCTTAGTACATTTTATTTATGATTCAAGATCAGTTTGTACTCAAGTTCTTGTTATAGTTTAATATTGTAAGAATTATCTATCAGATTTTGAAAATATGCAGTCTTGTTTAATAGATTTAAAAAGTTTTTACCATATATGTATATAACACAAATGTACAGATGGTAATATTTAATTTTGTGGGTCGTCATTTGCATTTTTCGGAATATTTGCCTACCTAATTTTTCGCGGATTAATCCATGCTAAAGTTGACTCAAATTGATTTTGTTACATTTAATTAAGAAAACAAACCAAACATATCAACATATTCTCCTGGCTTTCATTCAAATACATGTATATTAAAAACAGGGTTCATCAACAGATTTTAGCAAAGATTATACACATTTAGGTGGTAGCAGTAGCTTGTTACAATCCTGGGAGCCATGGTGGCTCAGTGAGTAAGATGTTGGCTAACTAACCTGGATTTCCCACGTTCGGTGCCTGCGTTGGCCGAGAAAGTTCATTGGGAAGGGACAATGAATGTATAGTCATTCGGATGGGATGAAAAAAACAACGAGGTCCTGTGTACGACATGGCAAGGGACAACGTATAGTCTTTCGGATGGGACGTTAAACTCCATTTCATTTTTGTTACACTCCTGTTTGTATCGTCTGCAATAGATGATGAATGATGACAAATTTTCAAAATATAATATCTTTGTAAATACTGAAATGAATTTAGACTTATATTCCATTTAAAGATTCAACTTTCATAAGGGATAAAAATTCCCTCAAATGATGACTGGAGTGGAAATTTATGGTTATATTTAGATACAAGATCAAAACCAGAGAAGCTGAGAGTAATTTTACGTGTGACTACTTGGCAATTATCTACTATTAATATGTTATTAACCTTTTTACATGGTATCAGCTGTTTACTCTCAACTGTCCCTAACCTTGTACAAAGTTCACTATCTAACCTCATCAACTCTTTCTTTATCTTCATTACAATATAGGTAATTAAATAAGCGTTGTTCCCAAACACATTACACTGATCCTAGTAGTCATACATGTAGAATCAAAATGGCATAAAATCGGGCTAAAGGAGACAGAGAGAGAGAGAGAAATGGGGTTTAACGTCCACTCGACACAAACTAGGTCATTTCAGGACTAATATATGGTTTAATTTTATTTCAATAATTCGCTTGCGCAAAGGGGTCTTTAGCAGTGGGAGGAAACTGGAGGACCCGGAGAAAACCCACGAGGTTGGACAGGCGATCCTACTCCTTGTCACGTACAACCGGGGATTCGAAACCACGCCAGTCGACTCAATGACAGACTTTATGATACAGCGCGCACACGCTAACCATTCAGCCATCCAACCCCCCTAAAGAAGACAGACATACGGTGTGAAAATGAAATAAGGGGTATAACATCCTACTGTTCTGCTCTGACTGGAATAATAAAGATGGGTATACGTCATATAGAGTGCTTGGGAATCATTGCCCGGACAGCGGCACTACAGCCTACTCTTATATCGAATTCCAACTGCCAAGGGATCTTTTACGTGCATGCCAATGTGTACACAAGATATCAGTTTTTCATACCATCCGAACAACTATACCTTGTCCCTTGCCAGACCCTCTGGGGAAAGGGGAAACCAAGCAAGAAATTCCAGATGAACTTTCTCGGCCATGCAGGGATGGAACACAGAACCTCCATGTTAGCGAGCCAACATTTTACTCACTGAGCCACCCTGACTCCTTGACATACACAGAGGGTTATGAAGAAAATCTTAGCCCATGCATGAGCACTACAGACGACTTCAAATTCTTTGACGTGCATGCCAAAGGGAAAGCTATGTCGGAAAATCAAAAGGAGGAACTTTCTCAACCAATATGGCTGTTTACGAGTTGTTAATAACACTACAATCTGGCAAATTTTCATTTCCCATTTCCGACCAAATTGAGTGATACTTCAGTCAAAATCTTTATGTTTGTGGTTGGGAGTTCTAAAAATTCTTTGTAACTCCCTCAGGCACATTGTAACAAGTTAACAATACAACAATTTTAACAAAATTGGTTCAGAATTTTTATTGCAACCTATTCCTAAGGTTTATATGAGTGTCAGTTTTTAAAGAGAGAGAGAGAGAGAGAGAGAGAGAGATGGGGTTAAATTAAAGTCCACTCGACACAAACTAGGTCATTTCGGCACTAACATATGGTTCAATATTATTTCATTATTTCGCTAGCCCGTAGGGGTTTTTAGTAGTGGGAGGAAACCAGAGGAAACCCACTTGTTGGACAGGCGACCCTACTCCTTGTCATGTACAACTGGGGCATCAAAACCACGCCAGTTGACTCAATGACGAACATTATGATACAGTTCGCATGTGCTGACAATTCAGCTATCCTACCCCCTAATTTTAAAATGTGCATAAATGTAATAAATCTAGCTCGACTCTAAATACACAGCCATATTAAACAATATGGATATCAGATCTTAAAATGCACATGATCATAATATAAATCTACCTCGAGCTGTGATACATAGATCAAGTAATTAAGTTATATGGATATCGGATTTTAAAATGTGCATGAATATAATAAATCTACTTGAGTCTCGAGACCTATTCAAAACCTGAATACACTAATAGTATTGTCATTACAACCTGATGTTCAATATATTGTAAGTTTGACGTCAATTAATGTTTCAAGTCAGCTTGACCTGTGTTTATGAAGTAAACAGTAGCAACTGTCAATACTATAAATACATCCCATAATAATACACAATCACGGTATTATAAGACTCACACCAGTTCTGGTGCGAACAGGTTGCTTTCTTCATACATGTACATGTATTAACTATGAACAGATTTCAAAGGCTCAATTTTATCTGAAGGAGATAAATGGGGCCACTGAAGACATGAACTGATACGTATTAATTTCCTGTGCATTCAAAATTGTTCATTTCTCGTGCAAACATGTCTTCCGGAACTGAAAGATATCTAAGTCTGGTTATTTTTATTATATGAAATTGGGAGCCACTGTAGCTAAGTGGAGTAAGATGCTGTCCCGCTAACCTGGAGTTCCCGTAACTGTCTAGTCATTCGGATGGGATGAAAAACCGAGGACCTGTGTACATACCGGCGTGCACATAAAAGATCTCTTGGCAGTTGGAATTTGACATAAAAGTAGGTCGTAGCGCCGCTGCCCGGGCAAATTTCCCTCATAGGACACTGAATGGAGAGAGAGAGAGAAATGGGGTTTAACATCCACTCGACACAAACTACGTCATTTCGGGACTAACATATGGTTTAATTTTATTTCAATAATTCGCTTGCGCGTAGGGGTCTTTAGCAGTGGGAGGAAACCGGAGGACCCGGAGAAAACCCACGAGGTTGGACAGGCAACCATACTCCTTGTCACGTACAACCGGGAATTCGAAACCATGCCAGTTGACTCAATGACAGGCCGTATGATACAGCACGTACATGCTAACTATTCGGCCACCCAACCCCCCTGACACTGAATGGTGTACGCCCATTTCCCTCAAAGGACACTGAATGGTGTATGTCCATCTTCATTAGCCCAGTCGGAACTTAATGGTTAATCTAGCCCTGGACAGGTGCCTTATTTTCAGGCTTACAAATAACTATAACTACAGGTACGCATTTTATTGGTGAATAAACTATAATAATAAATTATTATGTAAATAAAACTGTGTGTAAATGATTTTCCTGATAACTTATTAACATATCAAAGACACATCTGGTCATACTGATCTAGTATTAGTTGCATTGTCAAGTAAATTCTATTAAAGTAGGGTGGCCCATGCACTCTACAGAAAGTTGGTCTCGACACGGCTAAATGTGCACGCTTCAGTTGCGTGTCTCGAACTGATTTCTGACTACCCCGCACTCTCTTTGAGTCGATAAATAGCCATGGCACGTGCAATTCTCTACAAATATATCAACTATTACAGCCGTAAAAAAATCTATTGTTGACGATTTTGAATAGCAGTAAAATTTAGCTTCTTGGTTATTACAGCAGCTTTAGAAATTACGTTTGTTTTATTTTTTAAATTGCTTTATCATTAACTGTACCGTTAAGAGCCGCATCTTTTGGTTTAGTACAAATACTATCTCTGAATCACTTTCTTTAGCAGGAACATGATACTAGCAGTAGTTTCATTTTACTTTTACAACTTTCTTAAAACAATTGTTGAGTTGGCTAAAGTGCTTATTTCTAAATTCAATTTCTTGTTCTAGCTTTCTGTTATGTTTCGTAAAAAAGTAGTCTTGATTATCCCGACCTGTTAATCAGAAGTAGAATGGTCGATCGACTGGTTAAGCGAGACTAATTTCAAAACAAGGGCACGTAACCAATCTTTTACTCAAAAGTGTCTGGATGTTATGGACGACACTTGGAACCGGTTTTCAGTCTATTATTTATAGATGATTAATGGTCATAGCTTATTAAGTACAACCTGATCGTTTATTTAGTGACTATAATTGTGTGAAACTGATTTGAGGCTTGGCATATATATAAATATTGTGGCGTAATTGTCGAGATATTTGGAGATATTTATTTATGGTGGGTCACCCTAATTAAAGTAATTGTTTTTGGCTAGCTTTATACCGAGGAAGAGGGGTTTAATATACCTTTAGGCTAAGTGAGAGACTGTTCACCAATCCCTATTCAGATACAATCTGAATAAAAATATTGTTCATAAATGATCAATCAAAAAAAATACAGTATTAGCCTACCATGTATCTAAGTTGCATTGTGAATATTGTTGTGAATTCTATTAAAGTTATTATTTTTGGCTAGCTTAAAATTTCTATTCTTTTTAGAATACTTTGTAAAAAATATTTGGCACAAAGTAGTGTTTCATCACTCAGAGACTTATCTTTCAATATCCTGGTCTAAGAACAGTCAATATTGCATGTGAGAGAATTCTGTTAAGTTTTTGACAACATAAAATACGAATTTCAAAGATTATACAGTTTGGATTTGTCTGCAATATCTCTACTGCGGAAGCCGATGTTAAAGGAGCTGATATTCAAAATTATAAACACAAATTACAATTCAATGTTGATGCAATTCAATCAATGTTGATGCAATTCAATCAATGTTCTTCTCTTACATTTTTGCCCTGTATGCAATCCTTGGATGTTTTTCATGGAATCCAGTATTTTTCTAGTAAGATTGGATGTTTCTACTTTCCATATATACCAAAATTGCCATACTTTTATTGGAAATAACCACCCGATAAATACTTTTCTGGGAAAGTATCTTTAAAATCAGTACACTAGTTGTGTATTTATGGTTTTGAGTGCCATTTTTGAGAAACAGAGAAAAACATATCCTACAAAACAATGTGGAAGTATTTAGTAATGATTAATTCACAAACAATAGAATAGTTAAAACATGTTGAATGGACAGATCAGATGTAAACGAATGTCATACAATTCAGACTGTTCACATATTTCACCTTAGAAATTACAACAAGTTTTAAAAATTGAAAATAAATCATTTTATATACATGTACATTCATATTAGATTAATATGTGCATTTAGGTCCATTTTCGTCTATTTTAATGATCCAAAGAATAAAGCCATACTGCCTTTAAACATGAAGGAGAAGCTGAAGACATTTTGGATTAATATATAGGTTTTATAGGGTTGAATGAAGTCTAACAGGGAGATGCTACCCGGACCGAGTACTCTCATGTTTACCTGTAAGATAAACAGTCGGGTGTTATCTTACTAGGTGAAAAGAAAGATGTCCACCACATGTATAATCCCTATAAAATAAAGCTTCTTCAGAAACACCAAAAGGATATCACACATTCCCAAAAATAAACTGTAGCATGGAAATAGATTGGTTGAACACACCCTATCAAGTGATAAATGAAATGGGGTTTAACGTCCTACTGTTCTGATCCTATTCTGGGCTATGAAGACGGATATCAAGTGACAACATGATTTTAATTAAAAAAAATATCTAGCCTTATTCTATTCTAACAAACTCTACCCTCAAAAATAAAGTTAAAATACCAGTCAAATATCTAACCTTGTAGGATTCAACTTGTCCAATGTAACAGGCTTTCACATTTTGTATTTTTGGGTGACGGGGAAAGGGACCACTTCTATATATTTCTTGAGATTAATGCTTGTTAGTCAATAACCCCCCCCCCCCAAAAAAAAAACCAACAAAACAAAACAAACTTCAGTGTCAACTAAAATCCTCTGTCAACAATAGTCTAACTTACTCTCAAAACTTCTCCATAAACAAACTCTATTACAAGGTCAATTAAAATGTTACATAAACAAACTCAATTACAAGGTCAATTAAAATGTTACATAAACAAACTCAATCACAAGGTCAATTAAAATGCTCCATAAATAAACTCCATTACCAGGTCAATTAAAATGCTCCATAAATAAATTCAATCACAAGGTCAATTAAAATTCTCCATAAACATACATGTATATAATTACAAATCCAATTAAAATATTCCATAAACAAATTCAATTATAAGGTCAATTAAAATACAAGTATAATTTACAAAGCATACATAAAGTATAAGCCAAATGTTTTGTTTTTATAGATATCTGTACGTATTTAGCTTTTTTTTAAATGACCGTTTTCATTAGTCCAGTCGGAGCAGAACAGTAAGACGTTAAACCCCATTTGATTTCATTTTCTTAAATTAATTTTGAATTATTTTCTTTGAATTTAAATCGAGCTATGCGATTATTTGAAGAGTTATTAAGTAGAATGGTTTGTAATGTGCGATTTGTAATATAATGAATGCAACCATACTAAACTAAGGTAAAATCTATGGTATGTGATCGAAATGTCGTACACAAACTAAAATATGACCCCATACTAAATGGCAACAAGCCTATAAACAATCTTTGTAGTAGTAGCCGAGAATTTGTGGGAATATACGAATTGTTTGTCTGTCAACAAAACGGTGAATTCTGGGTCAGCGTAAACATTTGGTCAGTGTTTTAGTAGATTGTTATTAAGATCAATTGAGGAAAAGTTTTCCCCATGATAACAACCTCTGATTAATCATCGACATTTCATATTCATGAAAATGGCAGTAATTTTAAAAGATTTTATAGAAATATCTAAGTATATGTACATGTATGCAAATCATCTTCAAAAGTGACACACAGAGAAATATGGGGTAAAAACCACTTGACACAAACTTGGTCATTTCGGGCCTAACATACATGTATGAATCAATTTAAATAGAAAAATTACTTTGTGCAAATTATCTTTGAAAAAGAGAAAGAGAATTGGGGTTTAAAATCCACTTGAGATAAACTTTGTCATTTTGGGACTAATATTATATGGTTCAATTTTATTTCAATACAGACGATCCTTCTTTTATATATCTTTAAAATCTTCAGTTGTTAGATGTTTCTCACTTTAGTACAGATATTTCTTTTCTTACAATGTACCCTATTTATAAGACGCACACCAAAAGTTGACAGAACTCCACAAAGTACATGTATGTTTAAGTATATAATATGTATGAATCAAACGTCAAAATGCAATGATATTTACCTAATACATGTACCTTGTCTTGAAAATTTAAATTAAAAATATTGAGTCTTTTGGAAGTACATTGTAATGGCTAGATTTGCTTAACAGGATTATGTAACTCATTTTGTAACAAAATTTCATTGTTCAAGGAGGGCTGGGAGGTGGGGGGCAGGGGGCCTAATGATTTAAGTGTTTTAAACGAGTTAACATTGTTGTCTAACAGGTATATGTACAGTAATAATCTTGTTGAGTTCCAACAACTATTGGATTCATTATGGGATGTACAAATGTACATTGTTTAGAATCCTTGTACTGGTTGAATTCATGTATATTCCCTGGCAGAGAATACTAATGCAGAGTTTCCACTGTCACGATTTGTGCTGCGATTGAAATCGTGGTTTTAAATGTGGAGTGATCGTGGTGATCCTATCAGGTTTTATCATATATTGAGGTCAGTAGTGGCATTTGTGTTGATTGTATCGAAGCGTATCCGAACGTATCTGCATGCACCAGATTGTGGACTCAATAGGGACAAATGACAAATCCTATCATAAAATTATTTAACTTTCAAGTCAACTACATGTACTTACCTATTTTCTCTTTCAGCATGATGTGCTTCAAGATTTGAAAAATAATTTTCTAATGTAACCTTGGCCTTTGTGGAGCGGTCAATTGTATGATTACTGATCGGTGCAGTTTCTCCTACTGTGGCCATCTTGGAGCGGCGACCCTGAAAAAGAAAGCAAAACAGTAAAATTTATGGGGAATAGAGGTAGATTTGGCAAATTTTCTATTTTATTAATGGTTACAATGAGTTGTTTCAATGGCATTTAGTAATTGAACTGGAGTATACAGGTCACAATTTTAGGTTCCCTTTAGGTACATGTAAGGGGTATCTCTGGTTGGTCAGCATTAAAGATACATTATGGGAGATAAGATAAAGAGATGGCAGTTCTCGCTATAATAGTTAAAAACTAGATAGTGTACAGGTAATTTGCTGAAAATTTCAGTCAAATTGATCCACTATGAGCCGAGAAAGAAGCGGGTGAAATTTTTGCATAGTCTCGGTCATCATTACTAAAATCATTAATATAAACAGCATAGTCTCGATTATCCACTTTTTTTTATTTAATTATCAATGGCCGTTAGCGGCATATAGGAATCTAATCCAGCCAACATCAAATGCTAGCCTTGACATCGAGAGTTTATTATGGCCTGGATAAGTTAATTAATGTCTAATTGATAATTTAGATAAAATTTCAGGCCTAAAGAAAGACTTGTAATAAGCAGATTTTGCTCTTGCATAATGCATGTTTAACTAAGTGTTGTTGTGTACATGTATATATTGTCTCGTCATATTTTCATATTTCATCATTGCTTGATAATGACTAGAGAAGCCTAGTCAAAACGTTGCTCAGTAATAAGCAGTAATTGTATTCCATAGAATTGTGACCTGTATACCTGGTTACAATGAGGTCTATGAAATTAAGAAGCCACTACATGATAAAACCTAATTCAGTAATTGTGAAATAAAGGGTTAATGTCTTGGTTTTTCTGGACCAACTGGGCTGATGAAGGTGGCTATATATAGACATCGCAATAGTTTGAAGGGACACGATCATCGTGTCGTTTTTTGTTGAAAATTTCCACGATAAATAACTCGGTGTAGCAGTTGCTATCGTGTGACACGATAGGCCTCGATGTAATTATACTTTATACATGTAAAATTGACGGTATTTATTTGTCATAAACAATCCCTATCAAAAAGAAATACTGCCACAATGTACTGTACATGTACCATGCAGTGTGCTATGAAGGTAATTTTTCACATACAGAGATGTTACAGCTGTACAGCCTACTCTTATTCTGATTTTCAACTGTCAGGACGATCTTTAATATGCTACAACTGGTGTACAAGTGGTCAAGGGAATTCCAATCCTATCCGGAACAATAGATACTCTTCGTTTCAAATCCAGACTTCCTGGTTAATGAGTCAGTGCTATATATAACACACCGAGCCACTGTAACTCTTTATATAATAATTATGATGATTAATTATTATAACATCACAATCTGTTGGTCGTGAAAGTCCTTATCATTGATGGTTATAGTAACCTCCATTTTTTTCCAATAATGATAATGATGCTGGCAGCCACACACAAGCTTAAACATGCATTATGCAAGAGCTAAATCTGATTATTGCAAGTCTTAATTTAGGCTTCAGATGTTATAGAAATTATAAATTAGATCTTTATTTAAACAACAAGACCAAAATCAACTCTGTAGACCCACGGATGGCTCAGCTACAGCTCGGATTTAAATAGGAGTTCACTAATTGATTAAATCAAATAAGGGGTAACCTGATGAAAATACGTCAGTTAGATCGAGGCTAAATGATAGTGTGTACTTAGCGAGGCCGCTGTAAAGCGTTTCGGTATGCCATTGAAAACTTTACTTGATAATCGAGATATGTAGGTGGAGTTAACGCCTGTCAATCAAACGATCAGCGAAGGTGAAGACACAATTTGCTACCATTTCTAGGCAAATATTACAACGATGATAACTATGTTCAGAATAAAGTAATTTGACTGAATTTTTCAATATATTCTTCTTTCATCATCTACTTTTGAACTGTTATAGCAAGAATGGCCAACTCTCTATAAAAATCTCCCATAATGTATCTTTTAATGGAACTAAACCCCTTAACTCAATATTTCTCATAATATTCAAAATTAAAAATACAATTTAGAATTCAATTTTGGTATCTGTGTATCCATAAAATTGTACCTTGTGTTAATTTGTTCAATTACTAAATGCCTATCAAAGATAATATTGATGTGAAAATGTAGGAACCCAATACCCAATATTGTAATGAACAAAGAAAAACACATCATACAAGATAATGCGGCAGTAATTGTAGTAATGGCTGATTCACAAACTATCAATACAAAAGCATGTAGAATGGAAATGAAAATGAAATGAAATGGGGTTTAACGTCCTACTGTTTTGCTCCGAACTGGGCTAATGAAGACGGGCATACGCCATACAGTGTGCTATGAGGGAAATTTTGCCCAGACAGCGGCACTACGGCCTACTCTTATATCGAATTCCAACTGTCAAGGGATCTTTTACGTGCACGCCAATGTGTACACGGGACCTCGGTTTTTCGTCTCATCCGAATGATTAGACAGCTGTCCTTGTCAGGCCCTCCGTCCTGCATCACTGACAAGGGGAAACCACGCCGGAAAATCTGGATGAACTTTCTCGGCCAATGCAGGGATCGAACAATGTAGAATGGACTAAATAGGTGTAAATGACTACTGTTCAATTTGGACAGTTCACATATTTCATCGAACATATTTATTTAAAAAAATTGAATACAAATCACTATACATTCATGTTATTGATGTGATTTTAGACCCATTTTAAAGTCAAAGAATAGAACCATAAACCCTTTAGAGACGATACAAGCTTAAATTTTAAACTATCCATGAATCATAAGTACATGATGTAATAGTAGGATAATCAGAAAATGTTTATTCTGCCTGTTGATGAAGTCATCACAAAAAAAAGTTTTGTCATTGTTCTCCATTCCAAATTATTGATTTTCTCCATTTTCTATTTTGCACAATTACACTGTTTATATTCTAGTTAATATTTTACAGAGAAATAAATGAAATGAAATGAAATGGGGTTTAACATCCTACTTTTTGAACCGATTTGGCTAATGAAGACAGGCATACCATACTGTGTGCTTTGAGGAAAATTTTGCCCCGGCAGCAGCACTATTTCAAATTCCATCTGTCAAAAGTTCTTTTACGTGCATGCCAATATGCAGTTGGGACCTTATGTTTTTGTCTCACCCGAATGACTAGACACTGTCTTTGAATAAACCTAACTAAAGTTTTTGTTTGTATTTTATTTTAAAAGATGAGATAGTCATAAATGAAAGACTTCATTTTGATTTGACAGAATAAGACTTCATTTTAACAAAATGAAGACACTAATGACATCATCTGTAGGCATTTACAATGTACATGTATATTATTATTATTATTATTATTGTTCGATTTATATAGCGCTTCATTACACGTGAAGTGTTTCTAAGCGCATATCACAAACATATACTTCAAACACACAGGAACAATCAAAATCAGGAGAACATAATTAAACACAGCTGCCTGTTAGGCGCTATTATTCAAAGGTTTATGAGCAACTTTCCAATGGAAAGTTGTATCAGGTGTTCTAGAGCCCTCTGGCATGTGCACGGCACCCGTTGCTACATTAAAGAGGAATGCTTTATTCATGGTTTGCTTCACTGAAGTAGATAATGACTTAATTGTACATACATGAATAATATCCATTCAAAAAGGGTTGTTTGTACACTACTGGTACAATGTAAATTTGTAAACCCTGTAACAGAGTTTGTGTAATAGTGATATCTGGTGTTCTAGAAAGAGTGAGCATACCCTGCCTGTGCACAACACTCACCACATATACTTGGAAATACCAGTCAATCTATTTTGATAGCAATACTGGGAAATGACAGTCAACTGTGAGGAAACTACATGTATAAACATTTGATCATTATTTCAATTAAAGGGGGCAATATAGGAGATTAGATAAAGAGTTGACACTTCTCGCTATAATAGTTAAAAAAATAGATAATGTAAAAAGAATATGCTAAAATTTCAATCAAATTGCTCCACTCTGAACCGAGATATTAGCTTTAGAATTTTAGGCTAGCCTTGATCATCATTACTAATGTTGGTACAATAAAAAAACAGTCTCAATTATCCATTTTTACGTTTAATTATTTTTCAAAAAATGTATTCCAATCCGCTAAATATTGCAGGCTAGCGATAACATCAAGACTTGATTATGGTCTGGAGAAGATAATAAATGTCTAATAATTTAGATAACATTTCAGGCCTAAAGACAGACCTGCAATAGGCAGATTTAGCTCTTGCATAATGTATGTTTAAGGGGGCTTGACTGATTATATAATTTTGATCTCCCTGTGGAATCATTATTAAACGTTTTGAAACTGTATATTGATGTTTAATTATTTTTAAAAAAATGTATTCCAATCCACTAAATATCGCAGGCTAGTGATGGCATCGAAACTTGGATGATTATATTTTGATCTCCCTGTGGAATCATTATTAAACTTTTTAAATCTGTACATTGATGTTACCGTGATCTTCAAAAGAACGAAATGATTAGATACATGTATATACCAGTACTGATATTAAATCTAGTAGAGGAAATGATTAGATATTGATCTACTCTATAAGAAAATAAAGTTACATGTATAAATAATTAAACATTAGTTGTTTAGTTAACATTGAAATTGACCTTTAAGATACATTATGCAAAAGCTAAATCTGCCCACTGCAGGTCTTTACATGTATTTAGGATTCAGATGTTATAGAAATTATAATTTAGACATTTATATGACAAGCCTATAATCAATACTTTAGATTTAAATGGATTTCATATGACATATGATTATGGTACATTGTACAAATACAATTTTTTTAGAATTAATTTTGGGATAATGGCTTTAATATTGGGGCCCGTTGACTTAATTCCCCAACCTTTAATACAGCTCTGGTTACATTCAAATATACTTTACAAATATACACTTATCTAAACTTATTTTAGTACAGAGAGGGGACGTGGACGAGAGAATGAATTACAGTACATGTATATAAGCATAGGGAGCCA